CTCGAGCTTGAGACACACGACTCCGCTCGAGTGCCCAATCCTCCGCTCGAGCGGACTGTAAAACAGTGCAGAGAAATACTGGATGCTCGGGTTCTACGCTCGAGCGCCACTTTCCCCGCTCGAGCGGAAGTGCAAAATCTGGAAAACCCAGATTGCACCTCCAAGCTCAAACCAAGGTTTAACAACTCAAAACTCGACCTCTTGGGCTGAATTTCTAGAAAACATTTGTAAACACATAGTATATCATGGTTCAAAGCTCAATTTTGAGAAATCAAAGCCCAATGGTGTTTAATTGAAACCCAATTTCAAACCAATTTCAAGAACAATATGAACATGCAAACATGCATGAATTCAAATCATTTTGAAGCTCCAATTAGATGCTATAAGGAGCCAATTGATCCAAAAACAAGTTGAAAACATGGACCATTACAAAATTATGGACATGGATGCACCATTTTACCATGAAATCAACTCACAACTCAACAATACTAACATGCATGCATGGATTATGCTCTATTACAACATGCTAGAACTAATCCATGGCTCAATTCTAAATTTGACATGAATCATACAAGAACAAGATAAACAAGAGGGTAATTACTCTACCTTAGGTCTCCAATGCAAGACTAGGGGCTCAAATTAGCAATCTACACTTCAATTACCAAGCAATTCCACCAATGAACTCAAGCTCAACTCAATCTCTCTCACTCTCTATTTCCCTCTCTCTAATCGGTGATGTGTTCAAAAGAAATGGCTGAGCGAATGTTTTATAATGCATAAGAATGAGTCCTTAAAGTATTAAGTAAGTGACCCACTAGGATGGTAATTTGGCAATTAAGCCTAACTCTTTAATTAGCTTATTTTAATCTAGTTTAATCATACCAAATCAGTTTTCAGATAAATATACCATAAAATCACATTAATTATGAGGATCATGAAACATTAATTAATTCTCAGTTCGGCCGCCGATAAGGCCTTCAATTAGCAGTTTATACATAAGACATGAACAGATAGTCAAACAGTCAAACAGATAGAATACAAATTAACACACATACTCAGTCAATTCGATTCTAGTTTTCGGTCCGTCAGTTCAGTACTTTAATCAGTTCAATTATCAGTCATAGTCAGTCCAGTTTAACGGTAATCAGTGTTTATCGGTAAGCAGTGGTGAGGGTTATTACAATGACGTTATGTTAAGGCATCCTGTTGACTCCCTTGCATGGAAGGACATTGATCGGCGAAACATTTGTTTTGCTAGTAATAGTCTTAATGTATATCTTGGGTTGGCTATAGATGGATTCAACCCATTTAGATCGATGAACATAGTTCATAGCACTTGGCCAATTATGTTGATTTCGTATAATTTACCACCATGGATGTGCATGAAGCAACCAAATTTGATTTTTTCTGTGTTGATTGATGATCCAAAAGGACCTGGAGATAAGATCGATGTGTATTTGCAACCATTGATTGAGGAGTTGAAGGAATTATGGGATGAAGGTGAACAAACATTTGATGTATCAACCAATGAAATGTTTCATTTGCATGCAACTCTATTATGGACAATCAGTGACTTTCATGTCTATGCCAACTTATCAGGATAGAGTACGAAAGGTGAATATACTTGTCCTTGTTACAATGTGAAAACTCAATCATATTGGTTGAAGCATGGTAGGAAGTATTCATACATGCGTGTAATCGAGCTCATTTAGAGGGTTGTCACAAATTTACTTCACTATCATTCATTGTTCGAATTTTGTATATGAAGGTGCTCAATCAATGGCCGACAAGTCCGTTGACATGTTACTTGACCTTTTGAGTGAGGCTTTTCCTACGAGCACAAAACTTCCAAGTTCATATTATCAAGCTCAAAAGGTTACTACAGTTTTGGGTTTCACATATGAGACTTTTAATGCTTACCCTAATAGTTGTATATTGTTCAGAAAAGAGGATACAAAGCTTATAAATGTGTTATATACAGTAGTTCTAGATGGAAACAAAATGGTGGTGTTAGAAATGATGAAAGGGAATCTGGTAAACGGGCAGCAGCAAAACAGATGAGGTACATCCCTTTGAAGCCAAGGTTGCAGAGATTGTTTATGTCATCAAAAACAGTAAAGCTCATGAGATGGCATGCAGAACAAGGGTTGATGACGGTGCGTTAAGGCATCTTGCGACTCCCTTGCATGGAAGGACTTTGATCTGCGAAACACTTGTTTTGCTAATAATAGTCATAATGTACGTTTTGGGTTGGCTACAGATGGATTCAACCCATTTAGATCGATGAACATAGTTCATAGCACTTGGCCAATTGTGTTGATTTCGTATAATTTACCACCATGGATGTGCATGAAGCAACCAAATTTGATTTTGTCTATGTTGATTGATGGGCCACAAGGACCTGGCAATATGATCGTTGTGTATTTGCAACCATTAATTGAGGAATTGAATGAATTATGGGATGAAGGTGAACAAACATTTGATGCATCAACTGATGAAATGTTTCATTTGCATGCAACTCTATTATGGACAATCAGTGACTTTCTTATGTATGCCAACTTATCAGGACAGAGTACGAAAAGTGAATATGCTTGTCCTTGCTGCAATGTGAAAACTCAATCATGTTGGTTGAAGTATGGTAGGAAGTATTCATACATGTGCGTAATTGAGCTCATCCGGAGGGTTCAATAGCTAAGGGGTATTTGATGGAAGAATGCATGAACTTTTGTTTTCGCTATCTCCTTGATGTGGAAACCAAATCTAATCGACCGAGGAGAAACAATAAAGGTGATGACAACATGGGTCAAGTTGTAGGCGAAAGTACAATATTTTATCTTAATGATAATGAATTACAACAGTGTTACTAATATGTGTTGTTCAATACAAGTTCAGTTGCACCATTCATAAGGTAATTTGTCACTCCCCCAGTATTGTAAAATTCTAAAGTGAAATCTATATGATATTTACTATTCTCTTTCAATTTACACAGCAAACACCTTGAAGTCATTAAGAGCAAAATGCCACGTGCAAGCAATCATCAAATTCAATGTGAGCATTTCGAAACATTCTACACTTGGTTTAAGGACCATGTATGTATTTAGACATTTCATTTCAAATATCTAAATATACATAAATTTTGAGCTGCAGTTGAAGTTGAAGTTGAATTTATATTTGTCTTAATAGGTTCGGACCTTGCGAAGGACAAGTAATATTACATTTACTGAAGAAATCAATAGATTAGTAGATGGTCCTCATACCTTGGCTAGGTGGTTCAATGGTTACATTATCAATGGGTTTCGTTTTTGTGTGAAGGCTATGGATGATCGTCGGGTGACTCAAAATAGTGGTGTAACTTTAAAAGCTGGTACAATGAGTTACGCTAGTCAGAAGGACAAGAGTCCTCGCGTCAGTGCTATATACTACTATGGACAGTTAACTAGGGATGGAACTCGGGCGGGCTCAACCCGAGTAACCCATGCCCAGCCCGAGTTTTTTTAGGGCTTAGGCAACAATAAATTGTAATTTGGACGGGCCTAGGTAGATTTTTGATGCCCCGAATTGTAATTCGGGTCGGGCCTGAGCAGAATCAGTGACTAACCCGAGCAACCCGAACCCAAATTGCATTTAATATATTATATAAATTATATAATATATGTATAAATTAAATTAAATAGATGTCCTTAATATTAAAGTGATCACCAACTTTAGTCCCCATTCCACAAGGACCTAGTGATTCTGCACAGAGTCATAGATTCCTCGAGCATCCCATGATTGAAACACCAACCTGAGGGGGTTCATAAGCCTTACTCTTGACCTATATTGGCATGGCAACATGGTGCCTTTCTAATCATAGCTTGTAATGGTTAGGCGAGGCAATGAGGTAGGCTAGTGAGTGGAGTTGAGTGATTTGAGTGGAGCTAGGTGTGCAAAACTGGTTTAGTAGAGCACTAAGCCAAGATTAAAATCATGCCTTATCATGTAAAGTGGCTGTTTGTTGCCTTGTGAATTTTGGGGAATTTGGGCAATTCGGGCTAACCCGAGTTCAAATTATAAAGCTTGGTCCAGGCTTGGGCAGCCATGTTCGGGTTGATGGTCGGGCTCGGGCGGGCTTGGGCACTGCCAAACACAATTCGGGCTGGGTTTGGGCAAACCCCCAACTCGACCGAACCCGCCCGAGTTGCACCCCTACAGTTGACTGGTATTGTTGAAATCCGGTATACTAACAATATGAAATATGTGTTGTTTTAGTGTGATTGGGTTGATAACACTAGAAGGAAAATGGAAGACGTTTTTAAATTCACATTAGTCAACTTCAATCGTTTGTTGTACGCAACCGATCATGTTAGCAATGAGCATTTTATATTATCATCCCAAGCTAAGCAAGTTTGGTATGTTCCTAATCCCTTGGAACCAGATTGGCAAGTTATGGTAAAGATGTTTCAAAGAGGTCTTTTTGATATGAATTCTAATGATGACTCTCAAGTTAAACCCTATATGACTCAACATTTGGAAGACAACGCTATGCTTCGTGATGAAGAAATTGGCTGGGTGAAAGAAAGAATAGAAGGAACAACAATTCATGTTGAGAAAGAGAGTTGAACTTCATTTGTGATTGTTGACGAAGAGGGTTGAACTATGCTCCGTGTTTCTTAGGTTTCTATTATTTGCAAATAAGAAAAGTTTAAATATTGTTAAAATGTCTCGTGCCTAATTTCTAAATTTATAAGAAATTTATATATGTTTATGTGTTGTTTTATTAAGTGTTCATCAACTTAGTAGTATTCCCAAAATGAGCTTGGTGTAGAGCTTTATAAAGATTTTCTTTCTTTTTATAATGAATGTTTACTTGCTATAGTGGTTATTTTTTATTCAATTACAATCGGTTCTGATAGTTATGAGCTTAGAAGGCATCGTTGTGGACTTGTATATGGATCTTTGTCCCCTCACCACCAAGAACTTCTTGAAGTTTTGCAAGTAAGCTAACCACACTATTCTTTAAAATGGCCATTGCAATTGAGAAGGAAATCACCACCTTGCAATTAGAAGTATGTCAAAGAGTTTATAGGTAATGTTTATGTTGCAAGTTTTTAGTGTTTGATCTAATTATAGATTACTTGTTGATATAGGAAAAGAAGCTTGTTGCGGAGATAAAAAGAACTGCTAAAATAGGAAATGAGGTACATTTTTGGACGTATTTCTCTTTCTTGTTTTTATATTCAGATTTATCTTCTTATTTTTATTTGTATCCACATTCTGTAGGTAACAACTAAATTTTCAACATGTTAGCTAATCAGGCTTAGACAACAAATAACAAAATTACAAGCTTGCTTACAGCAAATGTCCCCAGCTAAGCAGACTGAAGAGGCAACTGAAGAGCTGACCAACCAGGTTCATTGTTTAATTTTCCTTGTTCTTCTATTGGTTTGCATCACCCATACTTCATATATATTTGATTATTGTTTTCTGAATTGCTGGTATTGTAATCTCCAACTTTGGGTTATTTGTGTTACCTAGAGTGTTGAATCAAGATGATTTATGTTTTTTGTTACTGTTAATTGAATAACCCATGTTAGGTAATTTATTTATTTATTTACTTGATAGGTCCTAAATGAAATTGGAGTTGATGTTGTCTCTCTAGTCAGCATTCGCAAGAGTTTTTTTTATGAATATATCTTGTTAGTTGATGCTATTATTCATGTATTAAATTGGTTTTGAATTTAACTTACACTCTTGACAGTTATCAATATCACCCAGAGGAAGAATTGCTGGGAAGACAACCGAGGATGCTAACAGGTATCTTGTGTTACATTATAAGTAAATTGATATCCATATTTCTTGTGTATTAACCTTTTCATATTTCTTTCATTTTAGGATGAAGCGGAAGAGGGAGACCTTTAATGCCCCTTGCACTATGGATGAGGCTTTACGTGTGCGGGCAAGTTCCTTGCTACTTCACACTATGGATAGAGTATCTTCTCTATATGTTTCGAGGTAAACTTTGTTGTTAAAGTTCTATTTGTTCTGAAACTGATTTATATCATTTGTTTATATTTATATCTTGTGCTATATTAATATCCATATTTCTTGTGTATTAACCTTTTCATATTTCTTTCATTTTAGGATGAAACAGAAGAGGAAAACCTTTAAGGCCCCTTGCACTATGGATGAGGCTTTACGTATGCAGGCAAGTCCCTCGCTACCTCGCACTATGGATGGAGCATCTTCTCTATATGTTTTGAGGTAAACTTTACTGTTAAAGTTCTATGTGTTTTGAAACTGATTTATATCATTTGTTTATATTTATATCTTGTGTTATATTAGAAGTAAATTGATATCCATATTTCTTGTGTATTAATCTTTTCATATTCATTTTATTTTAGGATGAAGCGAAAGAAGAAGACCTTTAAGGCCTCTTGCACTATGGATGAGGCTTAACGTGTGCGGGCAAGTCCCTCATTACCTCGCACTATGGATGGAGCATTTTCTTTATCTGTTTCATTTCCACATACAGTATCAACTACCTCAGCACGACGAAGTCGAGGATTTTCACGAGGGATAAAGGAATGGGGTACAGACACTAAGATCCAAGTAAAATTTGATGATAAGTCTCAGCCGGTGGAGGATGATGGCAAAAAGTTGAAGGGACAATTGGGATTGATCGTGCGCAGCGGGCATAGAGTCCCACTTACATATCTCAGTTAGAATGTGATGCATGTTGATATAAAGGAGAATATTTGGCAGGAGATGAAGGTATATAGTTTTTTCTTTTCGCTAATTAGGGTTAAGGTTAGGGTTTATGCTTAGATTTTTGATTTTTTTTTCCAAGTTATTGGTTATTAGTTATTTGATTTCTGATTTCTTGTTAATTGTATTTAGTGTTAATAGGCTGTGTGATGGTCTGTGGATTTCTAATTTTGATCATTTACTTGTACATTTGTGTATGCTCTATAATTATGAGGATGAAATTGGCTTTCAATTTGTACTTTGTAGGACAACTTGGTATATTGTCCAGATGAATTCAAGGAGGTTTGTATGTGACTTTGTAGGACATCGTGGAAAGATCATAAAGGCAAGACAAAGTCCAAGTATTGGGTTCCATTCGAGAATGATCCGAACATTGCTTGTAGAGTACATAGTAACATGGTGCCAACCCAGTGAAGGAAACTTGTGCAATATTGGGCGAGTAAAGAAGTACAGGTATAGGTATTCTTTATAAAATTTTAATTAATGTTTTAATGATAAGTAACTAATGTTTTTCTAACCAATGTCATAGGCGATTGCTAAGAAAAATTCTTCTAATCGAGGATTTCGTGGGCCTTCACATACGACTGAAAGGACATCTTCTCAGATATTCGTTTCAATGTATTGATCTAGTGCTGCACTTACAACTTATTCTGTTATGAAGACTTGAGCTCTTAACTTGAAAAAAAATTACAAATGACACATAAAGGGGAGCGGATAGATAAGATGAGTCTTTGGAAGAGGGCACATAACTTGAATGATCCCGATGTGGTGGCAATTATGGTATGTTTATGGTTTAAAAGTTTCTACACATTTTTATTTTTACAAACATTGTCCTTATGTTTTCAAAATGTAAGAGGAATACAACGCACATCTTTGCAAAGTTCCTAAGGAGCAACATACGACTGAGTATTGCGATGGGATTTACCATAAAATTGTTGGGAAGGATAGACATGGGTATTATGGAAGAGGAGTGCCCTGGAGTGCGGTGTAGGCACGAAGCAGTCGCCCATTCTAATCATCAATAGTCCCTTCATTTATTGATGAGATCACATGACGTGTGACACAAGACATTGAGTCTAGGTTCACTACAATGATTGAGAACTTGACGGCACATGTTTTGTTCTTAGAGTCACAGGGTGTGGCTGGGAGTACGAGTTTGAGAGATCTGCAATACATACAAATTGATGAATTTTACGTTTTATCAAATTTATATATATACATATGGAAATTATTAACACATTATACTAATAAATTGTAGGTGCCAGATGCATCTAGTGAGCAACAAGCTTCAAAAGAAAATGAGGTGCTTCTCTAACTTTATTAGTTTATTTGATGAATAGAGATATTGTTACAATTGACTATAGGATTGGTCTCTAGATTAAGTCAGTCCGTATATGAAGTTATCTAATATATATATTTTACTTTCTATGAGCATGAAGAATGGTTCATATAATAACTTATCTATCATGAAATGACCTATTCTTATGGTATTTGTGTTGATGCACTGGGACATTTGTTTGATCAGTACTTTGTTTGATGGGATATTCTTGCCAATGAAGTACTCAATGGTGTTAAAATGATCAACAGTGCTTTTTGTCATTGTTTAGTCAATTGTTTTATTAGCTCGATTAATTTATTATGTAAATTTTGTAAAGCAATTTGATTAATAATCCATTCATATTATTTTATACTTTGGATGATTTTACTATTTTGAGTGCAGTGTATTAAATGAGATCCTTACAACTGAGTCTTAGGATTGGTTGTTTCCAAAGATGCTTTTTAATCTTTGAGAGGAATTGTTAGGTATTGTCTTATGTATTACTTCTTTTTATGGGGGAAACTTAAGCTTTATTTTGAGTCCTACATTTTTCTCAACTTTCCTGTTTTTGATGTCTTTGTAGTTGGGGACTTTATGTTGCACTGACTTGAGATTTATGAGATTAACAAGTAACACCACTTGACATGATGAGGTTCATTGGGGAATAGTAAATAATTGACAACCCTTTGAAAGCTCTGGAGGTCTTTAACTGAAGTTAAAGAATATCATGAAAAGATCGTTGTTCTTGCAAACTTTTTATTCTATTATTTCTTCTTCTTCTTGCAGCATAGTACTTACATTTGTGCTTATTTATTTGTTATTTGATATTTAAATTTGTTTGCTTTAACAGGTCTAGCTTTGTTAGTTGATGTTCCAAGGGACAAGAATATATTGATGTATATTTTTGCAGGTTGTGTTAAGGGAGTAGTTGATATGATTGAGTTAGTGATATTGAGAGCTAAACTAAGATTTTATTATTATTATTATTTTTTGAGTACTTGAATCTATTAGTATTTTTTATACATAGTTTTAAGGATGGTTGATGAATATTTGTTTTGCATGTATAGAAGTTTATATTTTGTATGTACACTTTTTTTTTTGAAGAAAGATAATTTTGTTGAGGGAAGTGATGGAAATTAATACATGAATATTAGAATTTTTGCAAATATCACATTAGACTATGACCCATGAAGTATCAAAGGTTCTCAATCTCAATCCCCCTTTTTTGTTTTTTGTTTTTTTTTTGTTTTTTTTTTTTTTTTTTTTTTTTTTTTTGCGATGGTAACAAGATGATCGCTAATATATTGTAGGCATTTTTAAAAAAAATTCGTAACAACAAAACATTAGTCGGCATAAGTAGGTTAGGCGGTCTCAAATAGTTTGCGACTGCTATTTTGCGGTCGCAAAAAAGTATTTGTCACCCCACATTCGCGATCTTCATTTGCCGTCGCATAAACCGTTGCATAAGGTCTTTTGTGACTGTATTTTTATTATTTGAGCGGATTATAGCGGTCGCAAAAAGTGCTTTTTTTATTAGTGTCGGGATTCAATTTACATTCAAAAAATCATTAAATACTCTTAATTTTTAAATACACCTTGTTTAATTATTTAAAATTTTATTTTACTCTCATGATACCTTATTACTTTTTCCAAATTACCCTCAAGGTAAACCCAAATAATAAATAATAAACAAACTAAAAAAGCTAAATTATTTCAAAAAAATTTCAATACAAAAAATAATTCTCAAATACAGAAAAAAAAAACTTATAAGCACATAAGCATTATAAATACAGAAAAAAATTCAAACTTTTACATAATTATTATAAAACTTTTCAATATAGAAAAAAAAATTAACATTATAAATTATCCACAAAATGCTCGTAAAAAAGTAAAAAATCAAACTTATAAGCACATAAGTATCAGACACTAACAAGAAAAAGTAGTTCTCAAATAATGTACTATTTTAAATGACAAAATAAGAACAACTTCAATAATATGTTATTGTTAATCTAACTATTATGCCCTTCAAGTTTTTGTCAAAAAATCGATATAGAAAATAATTGATTGTACTTTACAAAAATTGTGAAACCCTTTTATATGAATACTTACTGCATTTTTTATGGGTTACTTCAAAAAACTATTTTGATTATTACTCTTATCCATTTTTTGATTTTGTTCAAACTTTCTTCTAGGGTTTAAAGTTTCCAAATAATAAAAAATAATGATATTGATGATGATGGTGAGTTTTGGTAGGAGGGATTGGAGTTTTGGAGGGAGGAGGAAGAAGAAGAAGATGAAGAAGAACTTTGATCTCTTAGGGAAGAAGATACATAGATTTGGATAGAAATAATTGATTAGGATATACTGTGAAAAAAAAAATTATTTTAAGACTTAATGTGTATTGTCCTTATTAGTAAATTCATATTAAATTATAATAAAAATTAAAATTTATAATTTTAAATTAGGCCTACGGAAACATATTTTGAATTTGAATAGAATGCCCCCAATTTCTTACCTTTTGTCTTTCTTCTAAGAATTTGTAATTGGGCTGCCCATTTGTAACAAAAGAGCAATGTTAGGACCTTAAAAAATTATTAAAAATTTTGCATTATAAAATTTTTACACATTAACATCTTTAGCATTTCTGGTTACAAAAAAATCACTATTTCGAGTGATGACTCCGTACTAAATTGTATACGTAAACGAATTTTTGGCCAAAATCTCTGACTAATGGCATAGATCTCTCGTGTATTAATGTGATCACGTATATCTAAAGTAAAAGTAAAGCTTTCTCTTTTTTTTTTTCTTTTCTTTTTTTATAATTTTTTTAAAGATAAATTACTAATACATTCTAATAGTTAGACTTAATTCGCATCAAGTTTTATTAAAAATAAATCATAGTAAAATCGTTGCTAAAATAATTTTTTGTGACAATTTTTTACACGTTCCTAAAAATTGACTATTAATGCTTTTTTGGTCACGATTTTTAAATTATCGCTAAAACTTACAATTAATGACATTTTTTTGTGACAAAATTTTTAAATTGTCACTGAAAGTTGAAATTAGTGATTTTTTGTGATAATTTTTTAAAAATGTCGCTAAAATTAATAATTAGTAATATTTTTTGTAACAAAATTTTTAAACTATCGTTAAAAATTAACAATTAATAACGTTTTTTAATAGTATTTGATGAAAAACGTCATTAATTATTATAGGACATATTGGATAATTAATTCACCAATTAAAACCTACATGTAAGTTACTTTTTTTTTTTAATAATTATTTTAATATCAATTTACTTTAATTTTAACTTGAATCATTGTACTTTGCTTATGTTTCTTGATGTAATAAAACGTACAATAGGATTATTTTG